TGGCGGTATGTTCACATTTACATGTTCTCAAAGCAGAATTCTGCAGAAGACACCTGTCCTGTCAGTGTCTCATGATAATAACTCTTAAAGTTAACTCTTTTTTTTTTTTTTTTTTTTTTTTCCAGAGATCGCTTCACTGGCGGACCAAAACGCCGACTTGTTGGTTCCTGACGAAGGCTGCAAATATGATGAGGTCATCGAGCTCAATTTAGATGAGGTTTGTCCTTTTTCATATTTAAATACTTTTACAAATACAGCAGCCATGTCGGAAACATTTGGTGTAAATATTAAAGTAGGTAACTTTTAGCAGCTGTACCTCCTGTTGCTTCAATGAATTCTGTGTTCCTTTTGCATTGTTTTAGACTGATTAGCAGCTATAAATCTGGCTTCTTGTCTACTGCACTGAACAGTGATACAAGAATAGGTATTAAAATTAAAACTTGGAGGAATTGTCAGATCCTCAGATTGTTTGTGTTTCAAACTGTAAAAAGTTTGAAATGGCTGAGCTCGTGTTCAATGATCAATATGACATTTTCTTTATTTTTTAGTTAAAACCCCACATCAATGGACCTTTTACTCCAGACCTGGCTCACCTAGTGTCTGAAGTTGGTGCCACTGCTGAGAAGAGCGGGTGGCCACTGGAGGTCAAAGTTGGTAAGAGAGACAGCTGTTCAATTTTTTATGTATTTTCCTGGGACTAAAACTACAGACCCTGATGTGTAATCTGTGGGGTTTTTTTTTGTATTTCCAGTACTTTACTTTCTGTCTGTTTTTAGGTCTGATTGGAAGCTGCACCAACTCCAGCTATGAGGACATGGGTCGGGCTGCGTCCCTGGCCAAGCAAGCCTTGGACAAAGGCCTGAAGTGCAAGGCTCAGTTCACTGTCACCCCCGGCTCAGAGCAGATCCGTGCCACCATTGAGAGAGATGGATATGTGAGTGGCTGCAGAAAAAATGCTTACACACAGTTAGCACCAGGAAAAGTGATTAAAGCTTAAGATTGAAGTGTTCCTTGTCTTCCTAAAGTCAAAGATCTTTGAAGATGTTGGAGGTGTGGTGCTTGCCAACGCATGTGGTCCCTGTATCGGACAGTGGGACAGGTGAGATCCAAATACTCCTGTCAAAGCTGTTATTTGAAGTGAGAACTTGAGCTTAGCCCAACAAAGTTGGATATGATATCATGTGACCTGTGCTGGTTTTCAGGCGTGATGTTAAAAAGGGAGAGAAGAACACAATCGTCACCTCCTTTAATAGGAACTTTACAGCCAGGAATGATGCAAACCCTGCCACACATGCCTTTGTCACCTCACCCGAGGTAAAAAAAAAATCTAGAAGCTGCCAGTACTTTCATTAACTAAAATTCCAAAGCTTAACGTTTTCCGTCTGTCTGTAGATCGTCACTGCCCTCGCCATCGCTGGTACATTAAACTTTAACCCGGAGACAGATTTCCTCACAGCCCCCAATGGGGAGAAGTTCAAGCTTCAGCCCCCAAGTGGTGATGAACTTCCAGCCAGAGACTTCGACCCAGGACAGAACACTTACCAGCACCCACCAGCAGATGGCAGCAATCTGAACGTGGACGTCAGCCCTCAGAGCAACAGGCTGCAGCTACTGGAGCCTTTTGACAGGTGGAGTGGGAAAGACCTGGAGGACATGCAGGTCCTCATCAAGGTCAGTGTAGACCCTGGACCCATAACATCACAGTAATCTAATAACCTCACAGCTAACTTTACAATAATGTTAGTCATGTCAATGCTCTGCTGCTTGTTTTTGTTTTATTTTTTTATCTTTACCATGTATAAATTAGTCTATACCTTAGGCTTTATAGTTCAATGTACATGTAAATGTACTTGGCCTTAAACACAAATTCAGATTTTCTTTTTTTCTGGAAACTAGAGTGGTATTGCCTGCCATGCTGAAGGTTCTCAGTTCCTTTCCACTCCATCACAACTCCCAAGATGTTTTGTGTCAGGAAGGTAATCTGTTAAAAAATATTTCTTTATGTCACATTGTACAGGTTAAAGGCAAGTGTACCACAGACCACATAAGTGCCGCCGGACCTTGGCTGAAGTTCCGTGGTCACCTGGACAACATCTCCAACAACATGCTGATTGGTGCAGTCAACAGTGAGAATGACGCGGTCAACAAGATCAAAAACCTTCTGACAGGAGAGTATGGAGGAGTTCCAGATGTGGCCCGCCACTACAAGGTAACACAGACGTTTTCAGGTTTTTAGACCTTTTAGTGAACAAAGGTAGTTCACTAAATTTTACATTATATCCCGACGTTATGTCTTTTATATCTGGAATAGCAATGTTTAATTAGTCTATATGCATGCAGAGTATTCAAAAGTCATTTTCTGACTTTTCTAAATGTCTGTCGTCTTGAATACACAGGCCAATGGTGTGTCATGGGTTGTGGTTGGAGATGACAACTACGGTGAGGGCTCCAGCAGAGAACATGCAGCCCTGGAGCCCAGGCATCTGGGTGGAAGAGCCATCATTGTCAAGAGCTTCGCCAGAATTCACGGTAATTAAGAAACCATCCTTAAATGTAGAGCCAAGAAATTAATCTGGGATTTTATTTGATTACATTTGATATTTTTCTCAGAAACTAACCTGAAGAAGCAGGGTCTTCTCCCACTGACCTTCAGCAACCCCTCAGACTACGACAAAATTTGTCCTGACGACAAAATCTCCATCAAGGGTCTGAAAACCTTTGCTCCAGGAAAGGTGAGAGTACAGCTCCAAAGACATGATCTCAGGCTAGTGTAACTTATTTTAACCCTGTGACCAGGTGAAAAGAAACATTTGTAAAATGTTGAAAATGACTCCTATGTTATTTCCAGCCTCTGACAGCAGTGGTGAAGCACAGCGATGGCAGCGAGGAGTCACTGGAGCTCAACCACACCTTCAACGAGACACAGATCGAGTGGTTCCAGGCTGGATCCGCCCTCAACAGGATGAAGGAGCTGCAGCACTGAGGAAGAAGGGACAGCCAGAAGGAGGAAGAGGATTTTATGGGAAAATGGGGTCAGGAGGATGAGGAGGATAAACATTGACAGCCACTCCATCTGCAGCATCAGCAGACAGTTTGGACTGAAGAGTGTGCACCACTGTGAGCTACATGTTGTTGAAGTGACTTCAGACCAAACGTGGAGCTAATGTTGGTGATGCTACACAAGAACTTCTGTCAATATGTCATATGTTAAGAACCAAATGGTTATAGGAGGTCAGAATAAAAGCAGTAAGATTCACACTTTGGCACAGTAGGCTTTGCATCTGCCGTCAGTGTTGCTCACTTTGCTTCAGTTTTCAGCTGTTCCTCTGAGCTGCTTCTGGTGCTTCTGGTCCCACACATGTTCACACTGCTGTTGGCTGCATCATTTAACTATTTTGTCATTCAGTCAAGCTGTGTTTGCATATGTGACCAGGAGAATTTTTGCCTCATTTACTTGTGCTAATACTATACTATTTTGCCCCCTGGTGTCCCCTGCCATGTCTACGACGCACAGAAATATGTAAATATTCATTCTGACAGCAATGTCTTGGTCTCATTAAATTGCATTATGGGAATTATAAAAGCAGAGTCATAAAGATATATATGATGTATTTTAAACGTTGCTGTCCATCAATGAGGTCATGCTGTGTATTTCACTCATAACAGTAAATGTTATAACAAAATACTTTTCACCTTTTGTGTAAGAAAATATGAAGTTGTCCTCTTCTTTTTTCTCACCCCAACCATTTTCCTCACCCTCTTTACAATCCTAACTTTATAACAGGGTCAAACACACCCCCAACTATTTATTTTAAGGTTTCTGGTCCTCTAAAAAAGTAACTTTTCTTCAAGAAGAACAAGGGAACAGTATGCTGTTGTTTGTGATGGTGCAGGAACGGTTAAACAGTGAATAACCAAGTCTTCAGAGCCCTGTTTCAATCTGGTGTGGCTGAAATTCACTCCAAAATCTCAGCTCGTGAGGTTGTCAGTCATCTTTCTCAGACCATGTAAAAGAAAAACCATCAAGTGTCCATCAGTTAAAAGCCTAAAACCAATTCAGTCTTCTAATCTGGTGTAAGGAAAGTTTCTGTTTTCACGTGTGTTTATGTTTTTCTGTATAAATAAATGCCAAGCACACTGACTCTGGTAATGTAACTAAAAGATTGTCAAAGTGGTTGATTTTGAATTAACAGTGATACAATCATCCAATGTCTATTATAGTTCATTGATGTAAATGTGTATGAAATGGACAAAACACAGCGTGTGGAATTAAGACTGGGAAGCAGGCTCAGATTTTTAATGGATAACTGCATTAAAAATATAATGATTACCAATTACTGTTTGTGTATGCATATTTCTTTATCTATACATTTCCTGTTTCTCTTAAAGTTCTATTCCAAATCTTCAGGTCAATAACCAGTTAAAGATGTTATTTTATTATTTTATTTTCTTCTAGATATTCTAAGTTGAAGTTGAAGTGTTAGAAAGTTTACTACAGTCTAAACTACCTGCGAGTTATCATTTTGCAAAACTATAGCCAGTTTAGGCTAACATACTAATTTATAGTCCAGCTAATATTTATTTAGCAATGAAATTGCACTTGTTTGTATATATTTTAGTAGAAAAGCTTTTAAAGATTCTATAATGAATGTTCAACCTTTTTTAATGGCTTGTTTGAGGTATTACAGCTAAATGTAATTGTTTTAGTTTTTGTTACTTATTACTATAATTATAATGACTTAATATCTTTTGTTACATTTATTTTTAGAACGTATTTTCGCTACGTTTACGTATATCTTCAAATTTTACGTGACGTCGCTCGAGCGGACCGGAAGTGCAGGTGCATCAGCATCATCATCAAAACAACCGTTATTGTCGGCGTAACGGGATAAGCAGTTGTTGAAGCGGGCCTTCGGCCTGTCAGCAAATACATTTTCTCAAGTCAGGAACTGACCGTTATTTTTTTTTATTTAAAAAATATATTGTCTTTATTATTTTTTTCTTGTTTTAAGGGCCGTCGTCATGACTCTGAACCAGAACCACTCAGAGTCCGGCGGAGTCATCATTAACAACAGTGAAAGGTAACGTTAGCGTTGCGGGAGCTTACACATAATGCTAAGCGGACATGATTCACTTCAACTATTTGATAAAGGACAATAATAATATAAATGTGTATTTGTTGTTTTTTTTTTACTTGACGCAACAGACATAATTGAAACCCAAAATGCTGCGTCACAATCAACTTCGGTTATTTTGAATGACAACCATTAGCACCTACAGGCTAATGTGTCATGAATAAGTAACGCAGGTGGTCAAGCAAGTGCTTTGTGTCACGTAACGTCACAATTGTCATTTGAATGATACAACGTTTTACCTGTACAAAAACAAGCAAACAGAAATGTCGTATGATCATTAGGAAGTCTTGGCTGAGACTACAGGCTAACACTTGACCTTCTACTGTACTTATTTTATCACAGCTGCAGCCAAGCATTAGCAGCCAAAATGTGATGTGTATGTTTACGAAAAATACTCTGATTTTCTATCATTGCCAGAGACGAAGGAGGAATAGTCATGCCCCATGTTGTTTGATACTGTATGTAGTGGAACATCCCATAGAATAAAACAGACGATTGTATATGAGTTAGTTCTCATTTTAGATAAATGTGGCCCTGGATGATGCCAGTTTTTTCCAGTTCTGCAGAAAAGAGCTTTCTCAGACAACAAGCTCACAAGGTAAAAAAAGAGTAACAAATATAAAACCATACATATGTTTGCTGTAACATATCAATGGCCATTAATCAATGGTTGGTGGTTTTAGGGTTTTGTTTTCTTTTAAATACAGGGCTGTCAAGTCACCCGTAATGTTTAATTTGTTTGCCAATTATTAAATTATTGATTCAAAACCAAGTCTGTACATTTGGTAGCACACTGATCAGTATCATGAGTCTGTCTTCCTCTTTTCACTGCCTTGTCACAGCCTTTTAACCCATTGCTTTGTTCTCAGTTTAGACCAGAGTCATTGCTGTTTTTGTAAAATTAAACATTCGTCAAAAAAAGACCTCACATTGCTTCATCATCCATTCATTGAAGGAAAAATGTTCTTTTTAGAAAAGTGCTTGTTAGTTTATGTTGTTGGCGGCTAGTTTATCTGTACACTGTTAACTGATCAAACCTAAAGTGCTCAGTGGTGCCGCCCTACAGTACATGCTGAACCACCAGAATTTTCTGATTTTTCTGGAAAGTGATGAAGCTTTGAATATAATTTTTAAAAAGTATGACCTGTAAAAAACTTTTTTAAAACCTTTTTGTTCATGTCTGTTCTGTTGACAGTGTGTTGATGAACCATGATAACGTGGAGCTGCTTTTCTGTGATGCAGAGCACCTGCCTGAAGCCTTCAGAAAGGGCAAGAAGGGAGGCATCTACCTAACTCCATACAGGGTGAGAGATGAGAGGCAGGAGACCATCACACGTTTGAACAGCGTCCAGACCGGTGCAGACCGGTGCAGTCCGGTGCAGACATGCTGACTAGACTGCAGTAGTAGACAGTGAAAAGAATACATTAAACTAGGTGTCTGTTTACACAACTGTCAATCAAAGCTGAAGCTTCCAAATGCAGAGTAATGGAAACCCAGGAGTGACTATTGATTCTGTTTTTTCATTCCGTGTTACACCATGACCTCAACAATAAGTTTTTTTTGTTGACATTGTATTTGTCATCATGTATACTGTATGTCCAGACCAGAGACTGAGTGACTAGATAACCTTTAGCCATTGATTCCCCTCAGGTGATCTTTCTGTCCAAAGGCAGAGATGCGCTGCAGTCCTTCATGATGCCCTTCTACATGATGAAAGGCTGTGAGATCAAGCAACCTGTACTGGGAGCCAACTACATCAAAGGCACTGTTAGTGCAGAGCCTGGAGGTAAAAATACTATAAATGTATGTGAGTACACATACTTATTTATTTTAAAAACATAATTTTATTTGTTTGTGCTTAAAATAAATATGTTTATCTTAGTGCTGTAAATGCATTTGAATTTTTGAGAGAAAATCATGTCACAGAGCTTTGTCTGCAGTTTTGCAAATGGCATGGTGATGCAGGTCTGTTTGTATTTAGCACATTATAACAACTAGGCATTAGAAAGTATTTGATAAAGTGATAAAAAGGGAATACATCATTATCTACATTATTTAGAATAAATTTGCAGAGTGCAGTAGGAAATTATTTTTATTTTTATTTAAGAACAAAAAATATTTAAATGTCAGAAAATAAAGAAAGAAAAAAAGACTAAACCAAAGAATATGACTATAGTTGGCCCAAATAATTATAACATTTCAGCTAAATTTGAGTTAAAAAAATATTATTAAAAAATAAGAAAGAAATTAGCTCTAAAATAGCCAAGAGGTTAAAAAATATAGCTGAATCAGACTGAACATCCGAAAGGAGGATTAAAGTGGTTGAATCAGTGTCCGAAAAGCTGACGTCTCAGTCCTGCAGATTTCTCTGTTCATTCTCTCTCCTCAGGTGGCTGGGAGGGCAGTGCTACGTTTAAACTGGTCTTTGCTGCAGGTGGAGCCATAGAGTTTGGCCAGTACATGCTGCAGGTGGCAGCTCAGGGTACGACAACATACCAGTAACCACATACAGTGTTGCATAAATGTTTTTTCATTCTCATCCTCTGTCGAACATATCTGCCTGTATCAGCTTCCAGAGGTCAGCCTGTGACTGCTGGGTTCGGTGGATGTCCCTACATGGCCAACGGAGCCTATTCTTATCCTCCTCCGCCTGCTAATGGGATGTACCCAGCTGCACCTCCACCTGGTTACTCCTATCCCAACCCTCCTCCACCAGGTTGAAAACTCTGCTCCTGACATTCATTCATGTGGCAGAATAGATTCACACAGGTTCGTAGAAGCGTTCTGTAAACCTCTATGGTTTGTCTTCACAGGAGGATTCTACCCCTCTCCTCCGGCCTTTGACGCCTCTGCCTCCTACATACCTCCACCTCCATATTCTGCTCCTCTGGGTCAGCAACCCCTGCATGATCCAGACCTCCCCTCCTCAGCAGCAGGTGGGTCCAGTACCGATCTGTTCACCTTTAGGAGTTCTACTTGAACCTCTCATTGTTAAATATTTCCTCAAAACTTCAAAATGTAAATATTTGTATTTTCATATTAATTTTCCATATTAATAATTAAATAATTTGGATTAGAAACAAATAAAAACAGGTGTAATTAATGGTGATCGTAATTGATCACCATTAATCACTTCATTATTTTTAAATTAAAATAATTGATATATTGTGATTTATTACATAATCACTGGATGTAATTATATATAAATATCTTGAGAAGTAAACAAGTCTCTCTCTCTCTTTTCTGTTTCTCTCTTGCTCTCTCCTCCTCCCTCCCTACCTCCCTCTCTGTGTATCTCTTTCTGTCTTCCCCACCAGCGGAGGCCAAAGCAGCGGAGGCAGCAGCCAGTGCCAGCAGTGCCACGCTGCCCCCCTCACATGTCTACCTGCCCCAGGTTAGTCAACCTTCATCACTGTTTTTCTTTTACACACAAAACCTCTACATTCTACAACATTTTTGAGGTATAAAAATGAATTGCTGGTTTATTTTGCTATTAAACTGCTGATTAAATTCAATAGATTGACAGCCATAGTTATAGTTTGTGTTTAGGTCTTGATCCAAACAATTTCAGATTAAAGGTTGATTTCACACAGATCTGATTTTGTTTCTGATATGTTTTCTTCTGTGTAGGACAAACCACCTCCGTACTCTCCTCCAGAGGACAAGAAGAAGCAGTAAAGGAGGCTGATGTCAACTTGTTTTCTCTCCTCTCCTTCATACCACTGGATGATTCTTTTTCTCACCATCTCATCTCCCCTTTACTATTTTCTTAATTGTTTTAATTCATCTTATCTCCTCTCCTCGCTTAGCCCCCTCCCTCTGCTTTCCCCCCAAATGTAGAAGCACCTTAACATGAAGGATATTTGAAGCAGTAGGAACGGGGAGTTTGTTCTAATTCATGAGGGATATAAACATTATAATCTAAGTATTTTAGCATTTATGGCCTTGAAAATGCCCCTATGATAATACTGTAATCATGCCACTTATACAGGAGGCTGCACTGTCATTTATTCTATGACTGTTTGTGGAACAAAACTGACTCTGTGATGATACTAATTTCACAGCTGAGCTCATAAAAAAACTGAATGCCGTTCATTTTTTTTTATGTACAAGCTTTTAATATGCAGACATATTTTTAAAAATGAGATATTTTCTGAAACCACTAAGACAAAATGACAACAGTGAAGAGAGCAGATAGAGAAAGACAGAGATTAACAGTTAGGTCCTAATCCTGGATTAAAGCAGGATCTGGAGGGACTCTATGTTCATCATGAGGGGATTGTTTAACTTGCACTTGAGTCTGTGATGTCACTTCCTTCTCTGCCACACCCCAGAATGTTCCAGTAACACAGTTCCTCTCATCCTTCACCCTGCTGCGTTCTTCTAACACACACACTCTAAAGCTTATCTCTGGATGTTCAGAGGTTTCTTCTCTTTGCTGTTTTCTTCTTCCTCTGTGGTCACTGAGCTGTGATTCTGTACCTGTGGCTGAATATTTGCACTTTAAAAGACACTGCTATGCATCAGGCTCCTGTTCTGTCACAACAGTGTGGATTATTACAACAGTAACAATTATTATAAACCTCTATGTTTTATCTCTTTATAATTTACTGAGTATTTCCTGAAGGCGGGGTTTCATGGTTTCAGTGAATGCATGTACACACTGGACAGGACTGTGTTGAATAGAGTTTGATTCATGTGGAACTCAGATGTTTTTGTCTTCATTTTTTACATAGAATCTTTATGAGAAAAAAAGATTCAACAGTGTTGACATAACCTGCTCCAGGGTCCAGGTCAGAGTAGGAGTTCTGTTTAGTGTGCTGCTCTTGCAGTCAGTAGTCCTCGTCTGTTTTTATCTTCAAAAACTGGTGCAAAACCTGCAGCAGTTTCACAAACACTTAGAATTTGGCTCTTTTTCAGTAAACATAGAAAACGGTGTGTAAAAAAGTACAGCAGATTCCATTAAAATCACCCATTTCAAGTCTGGCCATCAAAGAAAGGTAGTTTCCCCATTCAACAGCAGTAACATTCTCTCCTGGTCTGGGTTTTAGTCTGATTGCTCAGGGTTGGTACCAGCAATGTTCTCTTCAAATAGTGAGCCTATCAGATCAAACCAATTAAATCAGTATTGTCGAGTGCATAGCTCCCTCTATTGACTAAAAAAACTCTTTATATAGAAAACAATTTTCCAAACTAGTATCTGCTTCTCTTCACTCCTACTGTAGTTCATGGGCAGCTGAGCTTTATATCATCATTGTGCTTGGACATGATATACAGTATGATTTGACTATCCCAAGTCTGCATACAAGCTTCAGTGGAAAAACTTTAGTTCCTGTTTGGAGCTGAGATTTGAAGGTTTAGAGGAGATGTTTCACCAGAGTCACTTGTTTAGATTCAAAGGTAACGGAAACAGAAAATAATAATAATAAAAAAAAAATTAAGTTAAAATGTCATTATCAAATGTCTTCCAGACTCCATCTGTGCTTTTCTCAATAGTGTTTCCTCACCCCTCGGCTCACCCGGAGCACAGGGTGATGCTGACCCCCTCACCTATCCAGCAGGCAGGGAACAGCTCCTGGTTGAAGGCACAGTGGAAAGCATGGAGTCTGTTCTGTCCGTCTCCATAGTAGGTGAGCGTCCCCGCCTCATAGTCCAGCAGCATTCCAATGCGCCGGTGCTGGGAGTGACCCGTCAGTGTCTCTCTCCGGCCATTGTGCCAGGCGCTGAGCTGGTGCTGGTCCAGCTGCAGGCTCCAGGATAGTTCGTTCATACCCACCATGCAGCGTTTGCCTTTCTCCTTCCTGGGGATGGCGTCGTAGGTCACCTAGTGGTGAAGAGGGCAGAGGTAAACTTCAAACTATGGGGATTTTGAAACCATAAAAACAGCCATTAGTCATAAAACACAAGCCAACAACGACAACTCTTCAAAAGGAGCCAAAGCAGAAACAACAACAACAAAAGCCATTGCTCTTTAAAAACTATGCTTACATTTTTTAAACTGTAGGGTATTTTAGCAGTAATATCTTAATTGCATCTCTTGATATCTTTGACAAACTTTAAGTTCTTCAATTTCAGTTGCACATTTTACATAGTTAGCCTATTTTACCCTGTGTTTGACCAACCTAGTATTAAGCTAAACTGAAACAGACTCACTTTGTAATGATTTGGCAGAATGTTATCTTTTGCTGAGCTAGATTATTTTTTCTTGAATATTTTGTTGTAGAACTATCAGTTGACAAGTCATTTGGTCTAAACACTTGTATACAATTCGTATACGTTTGTACATGAAACAGTCCTCACCCCCAGGTAGGCCCAGGGTTTGGACACCTCCAGCTCCCAGTAGTGCTGCCCGTGGGTGAAACCCTGGAAGCAAAGAACCTGCCAAGTGTGGTCGAACCGGGCTTCATGAGCCAGGACGGGCCGGGGCCCAGAGCTTAGGTGCTCCGCCCGACGGTTCTCTTGAGACAGAAACAGGTGCCCGTTGGCTGTGCGGGGGTCAAAGGTCAGAGAGCACCGATCTGGAATGATCAAAAAGAAGAAAGTATTGTAAAAACAATTAGGAAAAATAAATAAAAAACAAAAAGGATGAAGAGACGTACAAGCAGCGAGTCCCTCTATACCACCAGGGTGACAGGGAGCAGCTGGACTGGGAACCACGGCTCCGATTGGTTTCTTATCTTGAGGAGACCCTAAGGATCAGACCACAGACCAAAGTAAAGACACGACAGAACCAGAACCGAGGAAATAACCAGTGGAATCCCAGACTTTGGTTTGGTTTACCGTCTCTGTCCTGACTCAGAGCTGTGCTGACAGCCTTCTCCAGGTCCTCTGAGACCAGCTTGGAGACACGGGACAGGACATCGGTGACCCCGTTCAACCGATCCTGAAGGTCTGGTGACACATCTGTGGGAAGCTCCTTCAGACGTGGGACTTTAATGAGAATTGATTCCTGCGCAGAGACAGATATTTTTTTCAATATGAACAAATAGAGAAATAAAGTTGAGCAAGGTGAGTTATTATTTCTGCTTTTGTGTTCAGCTTAGTAACAGAGCAAATGTTAATTGTTTGAAAAGCTTTAGCTTTTGGCTACTTTTAGTCTTCAATCTTATAGACATAGAAAGCCCCTCAATTTACACTCTTTTTAGCAGCTAAAAAGCAAAGCAAACATTTATTTGTCTGCTAATAAATGCAGTAAAAAATAGCAATAACTAATAAAAATAATTAAAAGCCACAGTAGAAATAGAAGTGCTTTCTTTAACAAATGCATTTTTAGCTACAAGATTGAAGACTAAAAGTTAGCAAAAAGCTAAACCACTTTTAGTTTTGTTGAGTTTATCGTCGTATCATCGTTAGTTCCACTGCATCAAGACCTTTAACAGGTTAAAGAAGCAGTGTGAGAAGACCGTCTCAGACCTTGATGAGCTCGTCATCAGGGAGTTTGTGCAGAGCTCTAATCTGGTCCTGACTCTCTCTGAGCCTCTGGGCCTGGTCCTGGAGCTCAGTCAGACGAGCCTCAGCCTCAGTGACGGCCTCTTCTATCTGCTCGCTGATGAACAACTCTGTAGCTTCCTGCTTCTCAGCCAGGATCTTCATCAGGGTGGAGAACTTGATACTGACACGGGCTGAAGTCTGCTGCAGAGTAACCTGTGGACAAAGGAATCCTGGATTAAAACATCAGCTTCTCTTCAGACTATATTTTATGTTTAATATATTTAAATGTACTATTGACAGTCACTAAGTCAACTTATAGTCAGCTTTTGGTTATTTTTTAGCAATAGTTTGAACTTTCTACATAAATCGTTTTGCTAACTTAAACTTATCTGCATTCTATTTACATACATCTAATATAATATCTTAATTTTCTTATATTAAATTATGGCTGTATTTGTGCCTATCAAATTATTTTATTTATTGCTCATCTTTGTTACATTCCAGGTTAATATTTTGGTGAAAGTAAACTGCAACAGAAAAGCCTGGGTATAGCGTAGAAGTCTGACCAAAACTGCAAAGACACCATGGATGGAGGAACTTTGGATTATAACAAAAATGAAAAGTGCAGGAATGTCAGGTGAGTCCTTGCATTTCATTTTTTAATGTTAGCAATGTTAACATTTAGCTTCTCTTCTAGCTAGCTGACATTATTCTATTGTTTTGTATATTTAAACTCTCTTGTGGCTTAAATTGTCTTTATATGCTCATCAAAACAAGGGCATGGGTTCAGCACTGAATAAATGTGTATAGGTGCAGTCATGATGTAAATCGTACCTTTGCTTGACAGATATTCTCAGCCAGGTCATTAATACTTTTCTGTGTGTTTCCGATGAATTTCTCCACCTCTTTACTTTTTCTTACCAACAGCAGCTGTAAGACAAAATCAAACTGGTTCTCTTCACTTGTTTTATAACAAGCTTAACAGTCTTAAAATTAGACTCAGAGTTAGACTTAGAGTCACAGCTGTGGAGAGCAGTGCCACATTATTGTACCTCCTGGTTTTCCCTCTCTGCCTCCAGCAGCACCTTTTCATGGGCCTCACACTCGGAGATGCCACACTCGCAGCACACGGACATCCTGTCTTGTCTGCAGTAATACACCAGAGGCTTTTTGTGTCGATCACACAGCTGAATGGCTCTCGTTCCTTCCACTCCCCTGGTGAGCGACTCCCTGTAGGTTTTGCTGTTGGTGGCCTCGGCCAGGACAGATAGGGAGACGTTACATTTGAGAACTGGCCTGGTCTCAAACTTCTCATTGCAGATGGGACATTGAGGTCCGATGTCGTCTTTACTCTTAGTGTCCCAGTGTCTGGTGATACACTTTTGACAGAAGGTGTGTCCACAGGGAATCGTGACTGGGATACGGAAACGCTCCAAGCATATGGCACAGGAAAGGTTTGAATTGGAAGAGTCCATCTTTGAAGAAAGAATAAACAATGTCATAATAAAAAATAGTATTTTATATTTGGCACTATTAACACTAACAATTTCCTGAATATTTATTTTAATTTTTTTTTATTGATACTATTGCAATGGAGGTTTATATCGCTCATCTTACTTCTATGGTTAATGTTGCAATGTACCTGCTGTAATATTTTTTAGAATTTTACAAGATTAGTAGGATTAATTACATAGATTTGCTATTTACCATATCTCTATTTAGGCATTATTCTCTAGAAAAGTAGTCTTAAAAATATGCGCTTAAATATAGTTTATTTTTCTTCAGAATGGAAATTATTGAATTGTGCATCATCATCATTTATTGTTATGTTAGCTTTCACACTGTACAGACTAGAGAGCTAACATTAGCCTCTTGTCTGGTCAGTTACGTCTCATGGGAACAAATATTAATGTTCAATTATTTAAGGCAAATTTGTACGCATATCTTTAAAGACGCTACAGGCGTACACAACGCAAAGGCAACCAGCATTTACTACCAAAACAAGGGAGAAATATATACACACCTTTAGAATGTAGATAGACAGGAAGCTTCCGTGGTGACGATTACCTTCGTCATCCAAATGAGGCATTTACGGATAGTCGGAGAAAACTTAAAATTCGTTTGTCCTTATAATTGCAACGCTCCCCCCTCCTAAATATGTGCTATCCAGGTCATCTAATCCAAAAATAGTTACAGTACATCGAGGGCAACTGGAATGAAGGTTTTTTTTAAAGACGTTTCACCTCGCATCCAAGAGGCTTCTTCAGTTCTCCAGAACTTAGTCTTCAAAAAAATGAAAAATAAAATAATAATACTACTACTACTAATAATTATTATTATTATAAACCAAAATAAATAAACTTTTTACTTCAATATTCAACCTTTGTTCACGAAACAAAAGCCGAACTTTTTTTCTCTTTTCGGCCACCGTAGTTAGTTAGATCCGTGAAGGAAGCTCTGGGCAAGATGGCGCTCCGCACAGTTTGTTCCACTGTAGTAAGAAACGGGCCTGATTTAGGGGTCATTAATGCCAGAGCGCTTGCAACTACAGGTACTGTTCCCCCGTTTCTATATTGGATTATGTTGAATGCTGTTAGCATGTTCAGGTGCGTTTGTTTCTTCATGGAGAACTTGTACATGTCGTGTCACACCAGCCTTATGGAGAGCTTCCATGTGTTTTTTCCTTGCCCAAGACAACTTCATATCGAACCTTTAACATTGAAATGCAAACCTCTCTGTTATTATTTATTTTATTTTATTTTTGTAGAGCTTTATAGCTATTTTAGGCAGGGACATTGTCTGCACTGTATATTGGTTTTAGAACTTCTTCTTATCATTATTATCATTATTATCATTATTATCATTTCACAGCGTATTCAACTAAAAGTAAGCTAAGAAATAACCATCCAACTTTACTGGCAATGAATGTCAGTTCAAAATGAACACATACTAACACACTATATAATCGTTAGTAAATGGGCTAGGGTTAGGGATAGTTAGCCAAGATGCTGATTAAACATTTGCCTAACAACTAAAATTTAGCAGTGACATACAATTTTATTAAAAACTTAATCGTTTTAGTCTTTGTCATGATGACCATGTATGTATTTATGAGGTACATCAGTGTACATAAAAAAAACATGGAATTAGAAGTACAAATACAGCTGTTTGTGTTTCTGTCTTTACAGCATTCCTATGTAAACGTCGTGTTCCAGGCGGTCCTTTGCCAAACAGTGAAATCAATGTCAAGGACTTGGAATCATTAGAGAAGTACCGCAGCTACACTCGGTACCTAAGACATGCTGATGAGGTCAAAAACAAACCTGTGTGGTGGAAGTCTTACAAAGGCTATGTGGATAATGCCAATCCTGAATTGGGTGAGGAAATTGTGTAGGGATCCGTTGACCTTAGTTATGAAAAACAGTAAAGATAAACACACATGTTGTTGTTAAAGGTGAAGAGAAAGTGAACATCGGCCTCCCAGTCATGCAGTCCAGCAGGGGGATAGCAGTAAAGGAGCGTAAACAGGTGATTAAGAACAACAAAAGAAACCCAGAGATGGAAAGAGCTGCACGTTTACGAACATGTAAGTTCTTGTATATTCAAATTTTTTTTTTTTATTTAACATAATTAAACTGTTCTATATCACCGCAACCTTCTCCATCCACACCAGTTAAGATCTCTCTGGACCGAGTGCAGGAGACGTGGGAGAAGACGTGTGGTCCATATCATATAAAGAGACTGGCAGAACACTACGGTGTCTTCAGAGATCTTTTCCCCAGGGCCTTCTTTGCACCTCAAGTGCCACTGCGTGTCTCCTATAACCAGGACAGCAGTGTTCAAGTGCATTATGGGAACAAAATGACACCAACTGAGGTATGTTTTAAAAATGTACGGAGAGATGTAAGATGTATTTAAAAAAACAAAGATTTCACCTAAAAAAAAGTTTGAAAAATGTTCTGGTTGATTCCCTGCAGGCAGCATCTGCTCCTCAGATAAGTTTTGACGCAGAAGAAGGTTCTCTGTGGACCCTGCTGCTCACATGTCCAGGTGAACCATCACTGCACCATAACACCAACCTTTGAGTGGTTCCTATAAGTTCATGTTGCATTAACTGCAGAGTTCATTAAAGAACATAAAGAACAAATGCATTGTTTTTCAGATGAGCATCTTCTGGATAATGAATCAGAATATGTCCACTGGCTGGTGTAAGTTTGTTCTCTTGTCTGATGAATTAAGGATCAACTGCAGTTTATTACATTCTTTTTTCAAAGTGGACCAACTTTTAATGACTCTGTGTTCATAGAGGGAACATCCCAGGTGGAGCAGTACAGTCTGGAGAGGAGCTGTGTCCCTACCTACAACCGTTCCCTGCTAAAGGAACAGGATTCCATCGCTACATTTATGTCCTCTTCAAGCAGGAGCTTCGTATTAACTTCCAGGATGAAGTCAGGTCTTCACCCTGGTGAGAAAAAAACATGGATATTTAAACAGAAAAATATTGGCTTCATTTTATTGTCAAATATATTTTGTAGGAAAAAACACAAACCAAGCATAGACTTTGGGAGCTCTTGTCTAAAGCTACAGTTGGTTTTTCAGACTGTAATTTTGAAAGTGCTTGTTTTTTTTTTTGTGTATACAAAAATACTGCACTAATTACAAATAACTATGAAAATGATTTTTCAACAATTTTAAATAAATATAAATATCATCAATCACTAAAAGTTAACCTGAATAAAGTTCAAGTTAGCACATGCTAAGAGATAGCCTATAAATGGCTAATAACAGCTAAGTTGTCCCTCCTCCTCAGCCACTCTCTGGTCGATCGAACATTCAAGACCAAGGACTTCTACAGGAAGTATCAGGATCACATAACACCTGCAGGCCTGGCCTTCTTCCAGTGTCAGTGGGACGAATCTGTCACTGATACCTTTCACCACACACTCAGTGAGTGACTGTAGTTAACACTCAAACATCGTGTCATGTTGAACCATGTGGCCTGAGGTTGATCTTTTCCCCTATCTCCCCCTTGCAGATATGAAGGAACCCGTGTTCGAGTTTATCCGACCTCCAGTCTACCATCCTCCGCAGGTCAAATTCCCTCACAAGCAGCCGCTCAGATACCTGGACAGATACAGAGATGGGAAGGAGCGCACTTATGGAATATATTAAATCACACACACACACTCACAGATCATTCATTTTCCAATTGTGGAATTATGTTGGTCATATTTATGTCATAACAACAATAAAGTTTGTTTCTCATGTGACATTGTCCCAATTTTCTTTTAAGATTTATTTTTATTTGAACTATAACATTTATTAAATAATCCTTGTATAAACCACAGTGAAGGGTAAAATTATAGAACAGAATTACAAGAATCAAGTCATTAGTTTATGGGAATGAATGATTTCTGTGTGTATAAGAATAAAGTATCCACTTCATATGATGTTTTGGGAGGGGTTAGTGCACATTTTTTTCATCATCAGGTCAGTATGTAATGTTAGAAAATAATCTGATATTTTTATCACTTAAATTGTCATTTTGTGACAATTTTATGTGTTTCTGAATTTCTTTTTTCAGAAAAATAGTTCAATATAACAGTTTTTGTTTGTTTTTAATCATTTATGAAAATTCGTTTGTGACAAAATGATGAGTGCGCTTGCATATTTCAGCCACCAGAGGGCGTATCGTGCAGACACCTTTTGGCAGGAACTTTAAATTTCACGAACGAATTATCAAAAATTAATAAAACGAGTAAACTGTGACAGTTTTGACTAATTTATAACACTTTTCTTTATGCTCACAATACAAGGGTGTTGAAAATGTTAAAAAGAACAACCCCAAAAAACAAAAAACAAATTGTTGCCTTTAAAAGGCTATGTCTGTGAACAGGTGCTGTCAATCAGTATTGATTGACAGCACCTGTGACTTGACTTCAAAGCTCCACAGAATCAGGAGCTGCTTCACTTTCTCCCAAAGACTTCAACCATGGAAGCTGTGAGAGTGTTGCTGGTCAGTCTGCTGCTGGTCAGTCTGCTGGCTGTCTGGATCTCTAAAGGTGTAGTACCTGATGGGAAAGTTTGTTGCCTTACTTACATGTTATTTAACCCTGTGTTTTTGTTTTCTGTAGTAAAACACACTCTACTTTGCTTTGCACTTAGTAATACAATTCCAGTACAATAATGAGCTTTGCTCCAGTTTTATTAAAATGTCTTTGTTTTGTGTCAAACTAAAGCATTTTAAGATGAAGTGAATAGAGTAAAATGGACTTGACTCTGACCCACAGGCTCTTGTTCGCCAGTTTCTGCAACAAATGAGGTTCACGAAAAAGGCATGAGTTGCATGGCAAAAGGTAAGGAGAGTGAAAATATGTGTAATTCTTTTTACATTTCCTTTAAAGCACATTCACTGACATCAGTGTGGATCTGTCTGGATTACAGGTGAGAAAAAGACTCAAGCAGTGGCCATGTTGAAAAAAAGTGAGTGGTCTTCTCTCAGACTCTGCACTCCTGAAATTGGAGGTCAATTTTCTTGACCACTTTTTTTTTTTTTGTTTTCCCCAACCTCGGTGCTTGGATTTTTACTGTCATACTTTATATTATTTATATTATTCCATTAAATGTAGCTTTTATCCAAAGCAATTGTTTGAGGAACAATCAACCTACAGTAAACAAATCAAATGAACATGAACATTTTTTGTCTTTTAAGTGGAACACAAAACCAATGAAGATGGCCAAAAGAAAAAACTGAACTTCATCTTGAATGATATGGGCAACCAGACAGCAGGCGACTACAGTGGGGGGGATTATGGCACTGGGGGCAACCATACAGTGGACCCCAGCCACAGTGAGGTGGGCAACCATACAGGGGACACCAGCCACAGTGAGGTGGGCAACCATACAGTGGACCCCAGCCACAGTGAGGTGGGCAACCATACAGTGGACCCCAGCCACAGTGAGGTGGGCAACCATACAGTGGACACTGGCAACCAGACAGCAGACGACTAGAGAGGTGGTGATTAAGGGACAGTGGGCAACCTTCCAAGGGACGCGGGCAACCAGACAGCAGACGACTAGAGAGGTGGTGATTAAGGGACAGTGGGCAACCTTCCAAGGGACGCGGGCAACCAGACAGCAGGCGACTACAGAGGTGGCGATTATGGCACTGTGGCCAACCATACACTCGACACCGGCAACCAGAGGGCAGGCGACTACAGTGGAGGTGATTATGGCACTGGGGGCAACCATACAGCGGACACCGGCAACAAGACGGCAGGCGACTCCAGCGGTGGCGATTATGGCACTGGGGGCAACCATACAGCGGACACCGGCAACCAGACAGCCGGCGACTATAGTGGTCGTGATTATGGCACTGGGGGCAACCATACAGTGGACACGGGCAACCAGACAGCAGACGACTAGAGAGGTGGTGATTAAGGGACAGTGGGCAACCTTCCAAGGGACGCGGGCAACCAGACAGCAGGCGACTATAGTGGTCGTGATTATGGCACTGTGGCCAACCATACACTCGACACCGGCAACCAGACGGCAGGCGACGACAGTGGTGGGGATTATGGCACTGTGGCCAACCATACACTCGACACCGGCAACCAGACGGCAGGCGACCACAGAGGTGGCGATTATGGCACTGTGGGCAACCATACAGCGGACGCCGGCAACCAGACGGCAGGCGACGACAGTGGTGGGGATTATGGCCCTGGGGGCAACCATACAGGGGACACCAGCCACAGTGAGGTGGGCAACCATACAGCGGACGCCGGCAACCAGACGGCAGGCGACGACAGTGGTGGGGATTATGGCCCTGGGGGCAACCATACAGCGGACGCCGGCAACCAGACGGCAGGCGACTCCAGCGGTGGCGATTATGGCACTGGGGGCAACCATACAGGGGACACCAGCCACAGTGAGGTGGGCAACCATACAGTGGACACCAGCCACAGTGAGGTGGGCAACCATACAGGTGACATTGATGTGCAAAGTGATTTTGAAGCACTTGCACAGGAGATTGTTAAACAAGACCCAGATGCTGCATTCATTGTGCAAAGAGACTCTTCAGACCTGGATCTCCTTCTAGATTCTCTGAACTCGGATGTAGGTTCCACAGGTTCTACTTAGCACACTTTGTGCAGTAGGATTTGGGAAACATGCAAGAGTTTGTCGCATCATTACCCTTTTCTCCCTTAGTTGGTCTCATCTGAAGTTTTCAGTCAACTCTTGAATGTGATCAGTTCAAGGCTGAGGTTTAGGTGAAGGATGTGTCTGCATGTGGCCTGTTCAGCTGTCTCTGCTTTGAATAAAAGTCCTAAATATAAATTTGTCTTTGTCTTTTGTTTTTTTTTTTTTTTTTTATCTTCTACTGTTGCATCTGAAATCTTGGTGTAATGTGGCAAGATGCAGCAATTGGACTTTTGAACTTTTTTTTTTTTTTTGGACTTCCAATTGGATTTTTGCTTTACCTCTGATGCCCCAGCCATTGTTTAGCCATCACTGAAGGACTATAGTGTTAGAGTTCCACGATGCCACTGAGCTAAACTTTTTTTTTTTTTTCCCCCTCAGAAACTAAATGCAAGCTGTATCAAACTGAGATTCATCAGTTGCTGCTACAACAAAGCTAAGGTAACCCTGCTAATCACCCACAAACATTGGCCTTGTTTGTTCAGGGTTGTGACTCTGCACCCTCTAAACTGCATTACTGCCACCTACTGTCTCTTCTTTGCTGTTAGACATCCAATTAAAAAATGTATTTGCAAATGGGGGGAGGGGGTGGGATCACCTCCATTTTCAATTCTAATTCCATTACATAGTTGATTGTTAGGAAATTGTATAACTGTTAAATCAGACACATGGACCATTTTTGACATGTTAACTCTTTATGGCCATAATTATCAGAACATATCTAGATACACACTGTAAATCATTTTTAATGAAATAAAATAAGTGATGCTATAAGAAGTAATGATAAACACTGACATAATTCAGCCTATGTCAAGGTAGTTCCTGATTGGTTAACATTCAGAGAGATGCATGTTTGATTTCAGTGCAATAGGAAGCAAAAATACAGTATTTTTTTCATACATTTTTTAAGCTAATGAGAGGGAAATGCATTGTAGATGGAATATTTGGAACTGAAACACAAATTACTTAAGATTCTTATTGGGTTCAATGATTCTCTTTGATGTAAGATGTCAGTGGTCCACTTTGGCAGAAATATCAGTGCAGAGTTTGAAGATTTAGTGGGAAGATTGTGGATGAGCAAAACAAAATCTAACTTGTTTGGTTCTGTGGTTTTTCAACCCATCAATAACGGATCGGTCGTATCCTATAGGAGAGTTCATTCTTGCAAAATCTGCATCTGCTTTTGCATTTGTTTGAATTTCTGCACACTTTAAAGACTGTAGACATTTAATTAGCACTTTTCCAGGACCATGATCATACACTTTACAAACAGTACAAAGGCCAATTTTCACGGTTTCCCAGCACCTTGTATCATTTAGATAGATAGCACTTTATTAATCCCTTTGGGAAATTAAGGGAGATTTGGAGATGGTCAGATTATTTGCCGAAGCAGTAACAGAATCTCTCCCTAAAACACAGAGACACAAATTCAGTTCAGTCTGTGCTACAGTACCAACACGTCTAGAGAAGGAATGTTGTGTTAATAATTTATCTCAGTCCCATAAATCAGGCTCGAGCCACTCTTAGCATTTCCTCCACGCTCAGTAGTTTCTCCCTGGGTTTTCCCACAGCTTCACCTCTTCTCGTCTCCTCAGTGTTAATCTTCTCCCAGTCGGAGAAAGACACTGGTTTTACTCCTGTAAACCAGAACAAAAGCAAGTTGCAGCTCTGAGCTTGTTGTCCATAAATACCAATGTGGTTTATGGATATTATCAATATTTCTGCAAGTTTACGTAAACAAATTCAGCTTTATAAAATGTTAATATTTCTTTATTCTTTATTATTATTTGCCCCTTTTGACACTCCCCTAGACATGCTCAATATTTACACAGTTGACATCCCTGCAATTTAGAAAATAATTATATTGTTGTTTTAATCTTGTTAATTTAAATGAGTCTTAATTTATATATATATAGTCTATATATATGTGTATGTGTGTGTGTATATATATATATATATATATAGTCTATATATATGTGTATATGTATATGTGTGTATATATATATGTATATATATAGTCTATATATATGTGTATATGTATATGTGTGTATATATATATGTATATATATAGTCTATATATATGTGTATATGTATATGTGTGTATATATATATGTATATATATAGTCTATATATATGTGTATATGTATGTGTGTGTGTGTGTATATATATATATATATACATACACTTGACACTTGATATATATATATACACTTGACTTGACTAGACTTTAAATGTGACAATTTGAAGAACCTAAATGTCTTTCTCTTTGGTGTCTATTTTAAACAAATCTTGGAAAATGTAAATTCAGAAACATTGCAATACTTCTCTGTTCCAGCAGGGCACAGATGCTCTGTGAACCAGGCTTTTCAGTAGAAACATCCAGCGTCCCTGAATTTAAATCCTCCACCACCGACCGTGCTGTGTCGAAACTGTTGTTCATGGTGGTGGCTATCACTCCTGTGGGGCCAGTTTTCAACCAGCCGCTACAATATAGACCTAGGTCGAGGAAGAAAATGTTATTGGACAATGGTGGAAGGTGTAGCTTTAGATCGGATCATCTTGAACAATTGATTTAAAAAAATAATCCATCAATTGGAACGTTCGAAACGTCCCACAGTGACAACTAGTGACCAAATAAATGAATGACTAATTTTATAATAATTTTAACTCTCGTCTTGTCTCTTGTAACGTATTGATGATTAATAGTATTGTTTAACATATTAACTTTGTCCTACCATTTTATTATATAAATACATATATAGATAAATATATATGTCCTTTTCCAAAAGTGTACTTTTACAGTCCTACCTTTAGCTTGTTGAACGCGGCCCAAAGTGTTAGGAACAATGGCTTTGCAGGGGTCAAAGGGCACAGAAGGGTCTATGGGGAGGCTTTTGTAGCCAATACTGCTGATGACCAGACCACAGCTCACCTCCTCCACCTCCCCAGTCAGAACTGCCTGAGCTCCTTCACCTGAACCCTTACACCACACACAGTGTCACCACTTTACACCACACCAAGATGCTAGTCTCTGTTTCTTGGGATTCACATCTGTCTTTACCTCCAGTTTGTTTACTGCCAGTCGGATTCCAGATATTTTCTTGCCCTCCGCATCTGCGAAGACCTCGATGGGACTGCGGTAAAATCGGAAACCCCACGTCCTGGTCGCTTTGTTCCGTCTCTCTTGCTCCTTCTCACCAGGAACTTCCAAAGCCGTTTTCAACAGCAGCTCCGTCAGACGCTTCCTGGGCCTCGGGACATCTGACACAACAAGGACTAGTGATTATTCTCCCACCTCTATAGTCCACTGGGGGGCTCGGAGCTCTTTGGGTTCTATGCCTCTACCTTTAGTTTTTAACACGTCCAAAATTTTGTAAATTAATTTACTGTATCACCTGCTTTTTTTTAAACTTTTTCTTAACTTTTTTTAAAGATTGCTGTCTTGCCTTTATTTATTTATCCAATGGCAAATTCATTTTTAACATGTCAAATTTGAAAAAGAACGCGGCTCAATATTCTGCAAACTCCTTGAAAACTAAAAAACATTGAAATGTTAACTGAGAGTGAAAACAGGTCAGACTGAAACCATCCGTTTATTTCTGTCCTGACTTCCTGCAGATCAAGGCTGTTTTTTTATCTGAACATCAATCAGCTCAAGGTCCTTTGCTTTTCTGCAAGGTTGTTTAAAAGAACTGCTTTAAATATCTGGATTGGCAAAAACCACTCGCTGCCGATGACTCAGTTTTCATTCACCATGGCATAAACGATGCTAGATTACGAGCACAGTCTGTCAAGACGGTGCCTTCTGGCCTCTTCGCAACACACACACACACACACACACACACACACACATACAACAGACAATGATCGTCACATGAACATTATTCATCTCACGCGTCAGCAGCTTGTGTGGTTGAAGCTGCAGGGATATGATCTGCCTGCTCTGACAGTTTGTCTAACCTCACCTTTAAGAGCCTCAGACACTTCTGCGAAATCAGCTGCTTTCATCTCAGGCCTGGTCCCTGGTAGATTCACCATCTCTCTGAGCTCCTGCAGTGAAAACAAACAAATTACCATTACCTGTAGTTGTCTTTGTGGACATTTTAAGAGTCAGCCAAGTCATAAGTACTTTTATTAGATTTTTGGCTAACTTTACACATGTTTGTTTTTGATGACAGACACACCTTGATTGTGCAAGCGATCTGTGTTGGTCCACGCCTACCAATAATCAGAACTCTGCGGACCTGGCTGTGGACCAGGGCCTCCACAGCAGGCTGGGTGATGTCAGTTTTCTGAAAAGGAGAAGCAGTGATGAAAGATTTTTTTTTTCTATCACAGGTTTCTGGGAAACAACAACACCTGTTTATACAGGTTAGGTTTCAATTCTGGAAAGTAGAACAAAGTCTGCTCTGGCAATTGTGTTAATGTATTTTTGTCTTACTATTAGCTTTTTTTGGCTAAACTTAAGTATCTTCTTATTGGAATGATAATTAAAAATGTTGGTGGACACAAAAGTGAAAAAAAGCATTTTTTCAGCAATTAACAAAATAAGTAACTTACTGTAATCACACAGCACTGAAGGCAATGTGTCAATACATATAATATAGTTTATTGTAAATAATAGGTGTACATGTACTAAATATGAATTTTTATCAGTTTGTTAGTTGGCTACAGCCCATTCATCTGTTTATTTTGTATTTCTTACCTTTAGAATGCTCAGCGGTGCTAACAGAACACGAGCCACGTCCAGGGCAACGTTACCTTGTCCCAGAATGACAGCAGTGTCGCAGCTGAGGTCAGGAGTCAACTGAGAGGTAGAAAAACACTTGATATTTACTGTAAAGAATTATTTGTTTTTTTTCCATTTTTTTTTCTGTAAATCAACAGCCAGTGGTGGCAGCTGTTAGTTATCAAATTCCCCACTGTCCACATGCCAACAGCAGACAGATGACATCTCAGTTAAAGTTTGTTGTGCAATATTTCAAGGTGTGTCAACTTCACAGAGTTGGAGTTTGTGAAAAGAAAGTAAACGGCATGTAAAGTAAGCAGTCACAGCATTATCTGGGGAAGTCCCGATTATAACAGTGATACCTCTCGACAGCTTGGAAGCCCGTTGTACCATCCCACAAAATCCTTGGCAGAGTACACACCAGCCAAGTCTTCTCCTTGTACACCCATACTCCTGTTCGCCTCAGCTCCGTAGCTCTAGTAGAGAAGACAGGCCATGAACTGTAGCAGCAGTTTCACTTAAAGGTGGGCACAGGTGGTGTCACAGACTGTGTGCTGACTGTTGTCTCCTCACCAGTACCACTCCATGGTAGGCCTGCTGCAGCTCTGAAACACTCACATCCTTCCCTACATTCACATTACCATAGAAGTGGCAGCGGGGATGATTGGCCGTCTGAGTAAACGTGTTGATTACATTCTGCAGAAAAGAAGAGAAAAACAACAACAATTAATACTGTAACAGGCTAAAATTTCTCCTGCAGTGCAGGCAACTAAACATAGGCGTCACTGTGTGAAACTGGTTGATCGTGTACATCAATGATTCTTAAATATGGGTGTGGTGACCACATGGTGACCATAATTGCCTCTAAGAGGAACTCTAAATATTTTAAGTTAGCATTAGCATTCCATTTACAACACTAGAGTAATTGCTCTTGTTTATTAGATGCTCAGTTACAACACTGCCTCTGACCACCATGCCTTCTGGACCCAAGTCTGCTTCCTCAACCACCAAGCCACCACTGGCCCAGAAGTACTTGGTCAGTCAGACAGATCCGTTTGTCGCCACCTAAAACAGGTATGCAGGGATTTTTCTTACTACTTATCTCATGTTTGCACTCACGCACATTTTCATTCTGTGGGAGTTGGCAGGAGTTTTGCTTTCCAGCAAGTTGACAAAGACAGTGTTTTATTTTCTTTAGCAGCCAGAAGAAAGGCAGTTGTCTATGCAGGTTCTCACCTTGACTTCAGGATGATCAGGAGCCACTCCAAACCTGACCAGACCAAAAGGAACAGGCAGACGCTCGTAAATGTCAACCACAATGTCCTGACGAGCCTTAAAAAGTAAAAGAACTTCAATAAAAGCTGAAATTTAGCCAAAATGGGAAACAAACCTTTCATAAAAAAAAAGTTTGTCCAAAAGGCTGTTGACACACTTCAATACAATTAAATAACAGCTACACGCTGTGCCTTAAATATTTATAAAAAGGCAGGTGAGAGACAGCTCAAAGTTAAAAGCTAAAAAGTTAGCAAAAAGGATTTAAGGTACGACTAAAAATGAATAAATTAGTTGTGCCAGTAGAAGATAGTGGTAAAAATCCATACAAATGTTTAAAGTCAGGACAAAAAGAAACAAGGAAAAGTAGTAGATAAGGAGACACTGTTAGCATCTTCATCTTGTTGACATGATATATTTATTAAGGAGTGGCTACTTTTGTTTGCCAAAACACATTTAGATCTATGTAGATGCAGTACACATGCCACACACACAGTACACTGTATGTATTATTGTCGTACTTGTAGAAAGGAAATGGGTCTTCTAGATTTAGAATAAATATTTAATGTAGACAATGGGTTCTTCTTTCAACATGTGGCCACTTCTGGTGTCATGTTTAGCAGGCGAGTTCAAATATATTTATATGTATCTCTATATTTGAAGGCATGAGTCCATGCGGTCAAGGCTGAAACCTGAAGTAGTAAAACTGTCAACCCCCGATGACCCATTCACAGCTATTGGTTCAACAAGCTAAGCTTTACTTAAGACAGTGCAATTCTTCTGAAACAATTTAATCACTGAACAGAGAAAACTAATTTCGAATCTCATTCAAACTTTTGAAAATACCTTCAGCAAATGTTGAGCTGTGTAGAACCCTGCCGGGCCACTCCCTATGACGCAAATCTTAGAGGGGGAAGGAGACGACGATGCTCCACGCCCGATTACACCTGCAGAATACAATGAACGAATACATGCAACATTCTACGGCCTTGAGTTCAGGGACAGTTCAGTAGAGAGGCAAGTTGGCATGTCTTGTCAGTTATATCAGGTCACAGGATGGAAACTTTTTAAAAAATGTAATCACACATTTTAAATACTACTCACTCGATATTATTAATGTATTACCAGTTACATTTAGTTGATATTAAATTTAATAGGGATTAAATCTGGAACTTTTCACATACCAAGTTTCAGGTGACAAGTCCATGTACTTCTCCCTGAAGTCCACAACTTTAACTTGGAAAAAATGAATTTGTGACCAGTCATCATCATCATCACAATAACCTGGCTAGAGGAACTGACTAGAAAACTACACGCAGTTAAAACAGATCGTATTTTTCCTCTTGTTTTGTGTGCAGCTCCTCATCTCCTCTGCCCTTTAAAGACTGCCAGTCGAATAGAGACGAAGGAGCAGAAGCCAAGGTAAAACAAAATAAGTAAAAAAAAACAAGTTCAATCGGTTATTTACTGAGTTTCAAACAGACGCTTTTCCTCAAAGAGAAAAAACATTTAAAGGTCCACAGCATTTTGCATATCCGTTTAGCTGTCGTCTTATTAACATATAAAAACAAAGAAAAAATGTTTACAGTCCAATGAAACTCCACGGACATTCCTCAAGGCTGCGCTTTCGTGTCACGATCAAATACGTTCGTGAGAAACTTGCACCCTCGTCGTCAGTTCCACAGGAAGTAAAGTTTATTATACATTACTAAACTATTTTAGGCTTACAGTTGGCTCGTATTATGTCATATTAAAATATATACGTATTGTATACGTACTTACTCCATGGTAGTCCTTCTGACTTTCTTCTTTAAAAGTTTTGTTCCTTTAATTTTGTATATTAGAAATTGACAACATTGGAAAGAGGAGGGAAATGTCAGACCCCGAACATTTAATTAAACAGTAAGCTGTTGGTGAATTGAAAATTATTTAAGAAATATTAGGAGACTATTAAATAATAAATACATAAAATATATTTAATGCTTCTCCTTGCATTACACGCTCCTGATAATGTATTTTATACAACACACAGATTTCGACATCACGTCAGCTCAGAAAACCGATGGTTGGGAACGAAGATGGCTGCTCATTACATCATCTGTGAGTAAAGATATTGTTTTATCTCCTCTTAATTTGTCTCCTAGGTTATAAGTTATTCACATCAAAGTCAAGCACTACTTGGCTTTTTGAAGGCTGGAAAAAATGACAGTTTGGCTGTGGGAGGAATCCAACTCGTTTTCCTTCTTTGCCATCTGGATCTTATCCTAATTGTTTTGTCATTTCTATGTGACAAGCCAAACGGTGGGAGCTTTTACGCACACGAAAATACCTTTGCACACCACCCATAAATTTGTCTTTGGACAAATGTTCAAAAACAAAATAATCTGAGCATCTGTGCAGAAAAAATAATAAAAGATACAAATTACAAACTACAATGTATTCTTGGCTGAGGATTATCAAGAATAAAAAACAGCATTTTTCTATTTAAGCAAATAAACGGTAATCTAAATACAATACACATATCTACAACACAACTCTTTAAATGCAGTATAATTGACACATCGTTTAACATCTTAAAATACAGAAAAGATATTCTCCTTGATTTCAATTTAATACCTACTATTATAACCAAACAAAGGTTAGAAATATGAGTCACACAGTTCATGCAGTGGCAGCCACTCACTTCCTGTTTCCTTGAAGATGCTTAATATAGCTGTTTATAAACTAAGAGTGGCAAATGTAAAACATTTAAATGTGCTGAACCTGTGTTGTATCACAAATGAGACTTGTTTACATTACTTTGACAGATGTTTGTACCACAAATGATCAACGTAACTGTTTGCTCTGTAATTTTCCCCCCAAAACATCATATTTCAAAAACATCAGTCAGGATGTGGTGGCACTTTTTTTGCAAACAAAACATTTTAGTTTAAAGGAAGTGACAAACTAACAGTTAAAGAATGACTCACAATTTATAAAGTAAGCATAAAGAAAATTGTTTATTTCTAGCTAAGATATTTTTATTGAATCTTTGAAACATTTGTTATTTACAGGTAGCATAGTAATGGTAATTTTTGTCACAATGCTGTAAACAAGATTTGTTTAAATCTTGTTTAAGAAACAAAAATACATTTAAAAGTTAAACATTTAATCACATTTTCTATTACTAAATGCATTATTTTGAAAGAACATGTTTTACAGTATATACATGTGTTTTTTTTGCTATTTGCATATTCAGTTTCTAGGTAATATTGTGTTATGTAGATTTTTTTTCGACACTAAAGGTTTTTTGGCAGAATGTTAAAAACATATGTAGTTAAAAACTATAATATTTGCTGAATACTTTGTGTCATTTTAGAAAATGGAAAAGGTTTGCCATAAAAATACATTTTTAAACTGGTCACTTCAGGACCAATTTTTAAGTCGGATTGATAATTTTGGCTGTTGTTCATTATTGACAAGCACTTTTGCTCAACATAGTGACACACATATAGGTTGACTGTACCTGGATAATCCCTCACCTCAAACTCTGGATTACAGAATTTTCTCTATAGTCCACATGATCCACCAATGTGACCATGTATGAATTGCACTGGGCCATGTGCTGGACACAGAGGTTCTGAGGACTGTTAGGTCTGGATGGTTCTGTGGTTCTGGAAGCTCTGAAGTTCATTTTGAACTGTGGAGACACCAAGAATATACACATTTAACTGTACAGCTGTACGACTGTATTAGTTTCTAGCTTATTAGCTCTTACACTCTCCTGGAAGGCAAGTGTGTGTCTTTCTTACTTTGGTGCATTGGAAGATCAGCATTCCGCTGATCAGGATGGAAATGGAGGTGAAAGCTGCTGTGGTCAGGCCAATCACGATCATGACCAGGGTATGATGTTTGCATTGTTTTTGAGAATCCTCCCCTGTGAGGACAAATGTCAGTCAAGAATATTTTACAGTTTTCATTTCTGTGGTCTAAAGTTACCTCACCTCTCACAATGATAATGGTCCCATTGCTGCAGCGGGTTTCTATTGTCACTGTCTCTGATATGAAGCGGGACCAGCTGCAGTAGTACAAGTCCGTGTCACTCACTCCCAGCTGAAATAGTCGCACATTGAAGCCCAGACCTTCTCTGATCTGATGGTCAGAAGTCACGTCAATTTGACCTGCCGTCGTCAACTTGGTGACACGTCCGTTTTTTAAGGACAGGTACGCCATGATTTTGTTAATGTGGTACGTTCTGTACACATACATTCCCACTGGATTGGACAAGGACGTTGAGCAGTAGATCTCAGTAGAGGAGTTCACTCTCGTCAAGGAGATGGACAGAGGTCTCTGAGAGACTGTGTGGAGACAGACGTGGAGGCAGTTATTGACAAGTGTGAAACATGTCAACATTAGGCTTTTCTTTCTCTGAGACACACGTCTAAGGACATTTTCAGATTGCGTCCAGGCCACGGCTCTATAACTGTCAACACCCAAAAAGCATTTTTTTATTATTTTCCATCACACAAAATATAACCAGATCCAGACAACCTGCAAATGCATTTGTCAGATTATAAAATTACTCTGTTTTTTTTTTATGTTTTTCGCTCTGACACATACTCACCTGTCCAGTCCTGCAGTTTGACCTCAGTGGACATACAGAATACAGCCAACACACAGCTCCACCAGGCGACTTTCATCCTGCAGGACAGGCTGCAAGGAGTATCACACACTGACTGACAGAGTGGCAGAGTGACAGTCTAAAGTTGACAGGAAGGCTTTAAATGTACCGTGTGGTTTACAGAGGAAGTCTGTCTGAATACTGCATCATGCATCGAAGAGGAAAGAAGTGACTGTTATTGACAGGTTTCATATTTCAAGATGATCCCATGTGTGATGTAATTGGAAACTTTTGTTTTGTTTGTTTTGTATGTTTTTATTTTCCATAAGAGTGTTCAGGCCACATTGAGAATAAAAGAAATAACATCATGGGATTAAAGTAATACATTCATGTGTATATCATGTAATACAGTCGTAAAGTTACAAGGAAAAAGCCACACATTTATAGGACAAATCATAACATCACGGATAAGAGTGAGTCATATTTGTATAAATGTAAAAAGTTAAAAAGGCTCTCTGCTTTTCTTTCGTTCATCAAAAAAACTCACAAACATGATTTTATTCTATTAAACAAATGACTTATTTCTCATAAATGTTGACTTTATTCCCGTGACCTGACTTTATTATTTTATAATGTGACTTTATACCTGTAAATTACAACTGTATTCTCAACGTTTTTATTTTTGCCCCAGTCGTCCTAATATTCTGTAAACTGCGAGTAAACTGCGTAAACTGCAAGTTAATTCTCTTTTTTTTTTATCCTCAATGTTGCCCTGACACTCTGTCGTACTTAGTGTAGGCAAAGAAAATACAAAGATGTGACTTCACCACTGGATAGCGCTGCAGCCTGCACAGTATGGATGAAAAGAGTCATGTTTTAGCCCAACCTTATCAGATGACTTTATCACTCATTTACATGAGTGCCCACAAGAGTTTCACTCTCATGATGCTAACGTCTCTGGTTACAGTTGCATACCAACTTGTTCCAAGGGGATTGAGAAAGTTTAAAGTTTCTTATTGTGGTCGTTATTATGACATGCTGAGCAAACAAGTACCACAGACACACAAAAGGGAAAGTTTTTAGGAAAAAAAGTATTTATTAAAAGGAAGACATTTTTGATATTGCTTTTTGACACAATATATTTTCATTCACATTAACTCTCACCATCCATACGGCTCAGTTTGCACAAATGTACTTAGTATTTGACTGCTTGTAACTTGAACGTAGCTAACTATTTGTTTCTTGGCTAACAATCAGCTGTATTTCAGTATCCATCCATTCATCCATCCATCCCTCCGTTTTCATCCTCTTATCTTTGTCTCTTTGTCTAACATTTGGTTACTAAACAGACTAACTTTAAGTGGTTTTAACCAAATCTTTGCACATTTTTTTGCCATTTGATCAACTTTTTATCTATCAATCACAAACTCTTTGTCTATGTATTCTTACCTGTTCCTACTTTGTTCTGGGTGCTTGTTTTCCCTCTTCTGCTAACAGTTATTAACCACTGTGCTCTGCTACAAGTTATTGGTGTTATAAAATGTAACATTATGTTTTCAGCTATGTTATTTCTGGCAGACATTAACCTATTTCTGGGCCACATTTGGTTTGTTTTTCCAATAATATAATACACATTTAGTATTACTGCTGTCATTTTGGCTACCTTAGTTGATCAATTGCTGCTACATTGTATTTTTTCTAATTCTGGACTGATCTGTACTCTGTTCCCTTCCTTTCCCTTGTTGCATCTTCTTATTTCTTTTCCTCTTTTGGTTCTAAACAGTAAAATGATGATGATGATGACGATGAAGAGGACGCCAAAGGGAACAACCACTGTGTTGAAATTGATACCAGGATTCTGAGGTTCAGGCGGTAAGACTGTTCAGATAAAAAAAACCAAAAAAAAAAAAACACACGTCACGTCACCTGTCATCCAGATGGAGGTGAGCATATTTCACAGATACTCACTTCTTTCTTGATTTAGAAAATTCACTTCGACATCACACTGCTCATCCATGCCACAGTTAGAATTTGCTTTCACTGTACAGATACCCCTTTGAGTTACATTGTTGATGGTGATGGACAGACCGGTGGCATTATTCCGTTTAAAGGTGATTTGAAAGGTATGGTTACGCAAGTTCCCTGTGTTGTTCCAGCGTAGGTAAATACCCACAACGTTACAATCCATGTGTTTTGGGTAATGTAACACACAGTTCAGTGTCACAGAGTCCCCCTCCTGGACTGTCACTGTTTGGTTGCATTTCAAAAACAGCTCTGGACAAAAGGTGGAAAAAAGGTTATGAAATGTTATCTTTGCTTAGATTTTTTAATGGTGTGGTAAGAAACGTGGACTTACCTTTGTCTGACGAACTCTGTTGGGTTGCAGGCAAGTTTGTAGTAAGGAAAAGCAGAGCCAAAAGTTTAGCTTGCCACATCATCATAGAACCTTTCAGGCCCTGGAATAAAAAAATGGCCCAGGAATAAAGGTAAATGTTTTAATATATAACTTGTGTGACTGTGCTTTGAGGGTTCTCCTGTTTCTTTCCATAATTTCATAGTTTAGCAGAGTGGCACAGCATTTGGGTCCATAACCCAGAGGTTGATGGAATAAAACCATCCCCTGCTATCCTAGGTGTTGACTGAGCATCAAATATTGTGTTGAAATCCTGGTCATATTAGGGGTCACGCTTGACAAAGGTTATGATGATGCTGTTGGGAGATCTGACTTCAATGTTTAGAGATTAGAAACAAGCTTTAATTCTAATATTTTTTAGCACTTCTTACCCGGCATTTTGTTTTTCACAACAACATGATGTTGATAAAAAGCTTCTCTGCTTCCTCACAAACCCAAACATTTCTTTGTTGTTATCTTCGTCTGTATCTACAGAACAACAACTGTTTACAGGACTGACTTTCTGCCAGGTTTAAGATACTGCTGTCTAATCTAGTTCTGTTTTCTAAAAACAATTGCTGACTTTTTGTTCTAAACCTTCATGATGTTTTTGGTAAAAGTTGTTGTTCTGTTGGGCTAAGTTACAGAAGTGAATCCATATTTTTGTGAAGTCTTTAAAGCACATTGGCCGAGAACGAGAGCATTTTAGAATCTGGAAAGCACTGGAATACAATTACCTGATGTTATCGTTATTTAATGCATGAGTTAAAAGACACTCTTAAAGATCTGTTGGAAGCTCGACACCAGCCTTCATGATCATTTTCACACTGTGCCAAATCCTTGTGAAATCCTCACACTGACAATGTGTCGTCATGGCTGGCTTCACACTTTAATCGTTTTAAATCACACTTAATAAGTAAGTGCTAATAAACACTCCTGGTGTGAAGAGGAAGCAGGCTTCAATCAGACTTTCGTGCAAGACAAAATTCTGGGGGAAGAATTTTTTGGCAGACTTAATGTTTGACAAATAATTTACAGTTTAGGTTTACAGCAGCTGTACTAGAATATAGACAAGGATAAAAACCCAGAATAAAATATAATTTACAGAATTAGAATAACTGATCTTTGACTTATCATCTAAATAACCAGTAGCTCTCACACTTACAGACCGTAAACACGCCTGGAATTAAGACAGTGCCAGCTGCCGTACAAAGGTTGTTTACAACTACAACTTTAAGTGTTCTAAGTTAAAGAAACATCATTCAAATGTAACATTTGAATTAAAACCAAATTATTCATGAAAAAAATAAAGGAGTAAATAACATTTCACAAAGTGTCTGACCGTGAGTGGTGAGAAAAAAGTGATTTGATGAGAAATGTAGTAAAAACCCAAGTCTACCTCATGCGATCGTTTTCCTCCTGTATCAGAGAGTGATCCAACACACAAAGGAAGAACACTGGAGTCGTTTCTCCATATATATTTACACACACACACACGTCCTCACCTAGATCTGGGAAGTTCCCATGTCCCAATACCAACACTTGCAGACCTGACAGACAGGGTTTTAAGTGAAAGAGAAAGTGATTTCTTCTTTCACACTTTGCCATATTTGTCTTGTGCATTTGTATATTTTCCCTTGCAGTCTGTGGAAATACTCAGCAATATAGTTTACAATAGTTGTACTTATGTGACAAATAACCTAGTAAATATCTTGTTTTCAAGCTATTTTAGCAAGCTGATTAGCAGCCCATTTGCTATTTTTAAGTGTTAGCCAAAAATAAAGCTAAAATACCTCAACTTTTTTTGTTTCTGTGTGAACAGCTAACTGATTGTTTTTCACTTTTAGCTCAATGCAGTCAGTGCATTTTATTGTTTAAAGAATTATTGGTTTTGGGGCCTTGATAGGCTACTTTTGTCAAAATGTTTTATGGCTAACATTTGAAACTTTCTTACTAAAGTTCTAAATTTTGTCCACAACATTGATGTGTTAAATGACTTGTTTACTTCTGACAAATATTTTTAGCAACCCAATTTTTTTTAACTTTGTATTATTACTGACAGAAAGATTCATAACAAAAGAAGTTTCATATTGGAAACAATTTTTTTATATCAAATTTTGTCTTCATTTTTTTCAAGTTTACCCCAATTTCTTTTAATAGCCATACTTTCTAAGGTAGCTGAATGAGCTAAGAACTTAGATGCCCCTCCATACACTATAATATGTAAAAATTTCAGATGTTTCAAATCATCAGAAAAAAAGGCCTACTGTGTAAACTTTGTTTGACATCGTTCCCTACTCTGTAATGAACATCAGTGGCAGGACTGTTTTCTTGGACTGATGTGTTGTTAATATTGAGAAGCTGAATTCTTTAGTCTGACTAGCTATTGCTGTGGCTAATCATTGACATATAAAACAGCCAATGACTGACACTGTGCAGGAACAAGACAATATATTTGAGTGGTTACCAACATGTATGACATGTATGTTTAATAACAGAAAGATATTACAAGAATTTAAAAAAATGACTCAGTAGAATGGAACAATGTTATAATGCCGATGATAAAGTCACGTACCTTCAGAACAATAACAATGACTCTGTCGTTACTCGGCACAGACAAACCAGACTCTCAGTGGGTTATGATGTCAGCAGCAGCACTCACCCTCTACATCAGGTCGTTACACTGTTGCATAGTTTCTGTCTCAGCTTTCCAGTCAAAAAAACAGTGATATATCAAATAAAAAAAACAAAAGACTTCAGTCCGCTCCGTGAGGTATAGAATGTCCACTCTCTGGGGACTTTGGACCTTATTTATTTATTTTTGGTCAGCAGTAAATGTTGGTTATTTAATCGCATACAACACCACCTTGTGACCAAGGAAAGGAATTGCACCTTTGCAGACTCCTGTACCCCTAGTCCTTTTGTGTGAGTTTTAAGACAGTCTCCCACTTCTTGTCTTCTCACCATTGCATGTGTGGAGGTTGAGTCTGGACCTGACCCTGGTTCCTGTACTGCGTGTGCAGCATGGTACTGGCCTGTGAAGAGTCCTGACCCTGAAGCCACTCCTGATATAGAGTTTGAAGTGTGGGGTTGACTTCGGGGAGGCGGACCGGCAGGCTACTGTAGGTGTCCTCCATCTGCTGGACCAGAGCTTTATCAACCTTTCCTGCGACCTCGCTCTCTGCTTGACCTCGACCACTGAGGCAACCTAAGGTAGGAGCACCAGTTTACTCCCAACAAATTTGAGCCAGAGTAAAATATTATGCTTGTTTACAGTACTACTGATGGTTGTGATGTTACCTCCCGGGCAGGACAACACCTCCACCAGCTGGTACGGAACACGTCCCTTTTTCATGCGGTGAACCAGGGTTTGGATGTTCCTGAAACCGTAGACAGCCGCAAACTTCAGCAGATTCTCTCCATCACGCTCCAGGGTCACTTCTTGGAAGTCCCGGTTCCTACAAAAACCACCACCGTGGTTCACAACAAGTGAGTTAATTTGGTTGAGTTGCTTTATTATTAACTACAGGCAAGAATACAGGTTCAAATGACTGATGATTTGTCTTGTGAATGTAATGTCATGGAAGCATTATTTTTGTTAAAAAAGTACAGAGTAGAGTACAGAATTCCAACTTTTGTTCATGGACTGTGACGTCTGATTTGACTAGATGTAAAGAACCAGATTTATTCCAGGGGTCCTTGTCGTCTCTCACCTCAGGGTCCTATATGTGATCTCATCCACGTCCAGACCAAAGAGCTCTTTCGCAGCATGTTTGAACACATGTTCTAGGAAACCTTCAGAACCTCTACCCTCGTGCCTCTGTAGTGATGAGTCTCCAACTTCACCAAGACTGCAAAACAAAGTGACGTGGAAGGTTGCACAACATCATGTCCAGAACGACACACAAAGGTAACGTTGTGTTTCAAAGAGTTGTTAATTATTACTGAGCTCCTCTACTGGACTGTTCCACGTTTAGATACATACAGAATAATACTTATTGTTAGCTTGATTCTGTGGCTCTTTACTAGCAGTTATGATTCATTTTTCACCTGAAAAATTCTTTGATATATTTGCTTATCTTTTTGTACATTTACTTTTGCTATTTATTTTCAGTACTTCGGTTGAAAACTGTAGCTAGCTTTCTCTAACCTTAAGCCTTTTGGCAAAACAAAGCTAACAATTAAGTGCAAAAGTCATATGTCTTAAATACTTAGTTAGCCAAATAAGCTACAATTGGTTAGTTATTCTGGCTATTTGCTATCTAAGGCTCATAAAGCTAAATGCTAATTTTGCATAAATCTTGATTTTCAACATTACTGCAACTTTGCAAGTTTCTGGGCTATTATTAGTTATCGCTCATAAATATTTAGCTTTTTCTGTGCTTATTTTCAGCCGTTGACATTTCTTAGCTATTCAGGGCTGAGTTAGCTTTTTAATTTATTTCTCAAAAAACAATAACAATCATCGCACAATTTTGTAGTGTTTGATGTGGATGTGAGAATTACAGTTTGTATCTCAGATCATGAAGTGAAGTGGTTTCATTACTCACACTTGGTCCAGTAGAACAGAGTCCAGCTTCTCCACTGTGACCTTCCTCTGCTCCATCATGTAAAAAATCTCCCCTGAAACATCCCAACATAACTGTTACTCTAACACCTTGTCTTCAACACAGCTGCTGTGGTTTTACTAGGACACAGAGGCAAGGAAAGTTTTGTGATGTGTCGCAGCAGACAGGTGTGCCATATGTTTAAACAGTTAACTCCCAGGCAGCGGCAGTGTATGGCAGGAGATAAAAATAAAAGGACTGAACCTGATGTAAGGACACAGTCCACGTCCCTGGTGTCCAGCAAACTGTTGTAAAACTCCTCTCTGACTGCCTCCAGCTTCTTATCAAAGCAGGGAGCCACCACCAGGTGGAAGAGTTTGTCTGGGCTCAGCTTCTGCAGGAAGACCAGGATAAAAACATTTAATACGTTTAGCTACAAACACATGATCCACAGGAGTTACATTTAACAATGCTGACCCTTTACCTTAGACGTCTGGAGAAAAACCTTCATGTGAATTTTGATAACTTCTCTGCTTTACAGAGACTACACTCACCTGCTGCTTTGAGAAGAAGTCTTTGACAAGACAGCCCATGATCTGCTGTGGAGACCTGGCTGTACATATATGTGGGGTGACCATGCTGCCCAGGACCCGCTCTGAGTAACGTATCCAACCTGGACACACACATCCACATACTCTAGTTTAGCTGAAGTAAACACTTTACAGGGTTAGTCTTGGCCTGGGGTCTGCAACCCCTTGTGGGTTCATGTTTTTGAACAGACCAGATTTGTGACTGTTTTCGCCAACAAAACCTTTCACGCCCCATATATCCAACCGCTCTGTATTTTTAGTACACATCAGTTCATTCTGCACTGACTTGTTAATGACTGTCAGATACTGCAGAACACAAGGCTGAGAATTATTTTCTCAAATGTCACACTAAAATATCAACTTTCTTTTAAGCATAAAAAACAACAAAGTGCCACTGTCTTTAACTGATGCAATCTTTGTGAATTTTATTTGGTTGTAAAAGTTGATTTTGATATATTTACTATAAAAATATTCATCCCAAAATGAGTTACCAAACTATAAACCACCAGTTTATCTTTTTTCTATTAAGTCAGCATGTTGTCCCAAATCCTGAAAATCTCCCAGGACTTTTTCCTACTTTCTGTGACTAAAGCTGTGCATAGTTATCCAGATCAGTGAGTCCACACTAAACACTGTGCACGTATACTGTAAACAGCACCAGTCTCGTTTGGCTATTTTTATTCCTGAATAGGTGAACACTTCCTCTTATTTAGCACATTATATGCAAACAAACCATACGCTCAGCAACATGGGGGAACCGCTAAGATTATCAGTGTAGTGTGAGAAGGTCACCTGGGCAGGAGGAGGTGAACATGGGCAGTGCATTGGGATCATGGTTCCTCCTTCGATACCTCTGAATAAACTCCTTCTGGCTCTCCAAGATGCTGAAGCCTGCAGCCAGAGTGGTGTCAAAGACGTAGTGTACTCCTGAAATATAACAGAGCCACGACAGTGAGAACGGAGAGCAGGGAAAAAGTGGAGCTTCTGTGACAGATACCAAAGAGAAGGTGGCAATTTCTGCACAGCAAGAAACAGAAGAATGGAATGGAACAATGGACTATATACCAAATGCATCTTCGACCAGTGTTCATTAAAGCACTGACAGGGTTACAGACCCAGGATGTGTGTTAAAGCCAGCTCACCCAGAGTCTTGAGGAATCCGCACAGTTTCTGAGCAGCTTCATGTATGTCCAGACCAAACTTCACAGCGAAGAAAGGCAGTGATTGTGGACAAATTGATGCAACCAGAACCTTGTGCTTTGTTGTGTCACACTTCTGAAAATGGCAGTGAAGAGGAA